AAGATTAATTATTTCCACATCTCTTTTCAGACTACAGGTCAATACAGAAAAAAGGATAAACTGAAAAATACCTGAAATAGGAAACTACATAATTACTAAGCACTATGTACAAAAACCTTGTTTGGTATGTTTTATATCATTAATTATCACAACTGCCATTTGCAAGTGTTATTTTAAACTGTAAGAATCCATCCATCCACAACTGAAGTATTCTTGAAGATTAAGATTAATGTGTCATGAATCACCACGGTTTAATATGCATGACACAGTTTCATTTCACACATATTCTGCATGGGTTGATTGCCATGTATACCAATATCAAACAGATGTTATTTCTTTACTTTATTGCTCTCAGAGTATGTTTTAATTATCTGTGAGGCTTCATAAAGAAAAAGAAGGAGGTTATTTTGAAGCAAATTTAGCAAAAAATATAAAAGAAAAAATCATTAGATTTTTCTTTATTTCATGTTCTCAACAATATTATTTCAATAGTAAAAAAAAGACTTGATATGCAAAGGAACTGCAGACTGCTCTCATTAAATGGCTCATTCCTTCTAAGCCACAAAACTTTGACTATTTTTCCAATAAAATGCATTATTTTAAAAGCCCTGCCAATTCAACATGAGCTTGGTGATATGAAATGTTTCTGCAAGTCATTGTATGTTTATATTACGCCTAAATTCTTAAATGTGAGTATTTTGCAAAGAAATCAAAACTTCAGGTAAAACATTACTACATAAATTCTTGCATCAACAGTGCTATAGGTCCCCTGTATCATCCAAATTAAGTAATATTTGAATATAAAATATTTCACAAGCCTTCACTGTACAGAGGCCAGAAATGGAAATGAGAAGACATCCTAGTTTAAATGAGAAAGCTGTTTTAGTCAGCATCAGCTCCCACTTTCTGCTGTGTCAGATGCAAGCCACAATTCCCCAGGACCAGAAGAGCAACAGAGCCACAGGTCAGGATGAAATAGTGTTGGATAAAACCTCTGAGTTTTAACTAATGCCTAATTTGAGCAGAGCTGTTATTGTGATTTCCATGGAAGTTAGAGCATGTCTCTAGCTTTGGGCCTGATCCTCCTGAAATCAACAGAAACAGGAATGATTCCCAAGGATTTTGCACTAGAATTAGTTTCACCAAGCTGAAACAGTCTCCAGGTTGAAAATTGCAATTAGCAAAACTGTTACAAATAATAATAGTGGCAGTAGAAGTGTATATTTGAATCATATATCTCAATGTTAGATAGTACAAACACAGATAAACAATAGTTATAGACAAAATATTGTCAAAACTAAGATATTCAGCCCTTCCTTATGTCATAGAGATTTTTTTGTACACAGTAATATTTTCAACACCATAACAATTATTTAAATTTCTTGCCTATATAGCACATACTGACATAAGATGGCATACAGCTTTAAAATCAAAACGTGAAGTGACATTTTGAAAAACAACTGACAGTTATGGCACAAGAGTGCAGTGACCTCTGTTCTTCAATATTCTCTTTTTCCGTATTCTTTTTCCAAATGCCCAAATAAGTGCAAGGTGCCCAGAAGCAAAATGTATATTACCAGTGACACGCTAATTCCAAAGAAGTCAAAATCACAATATTTTCACTGAACTTACTGGGCCCAGGAATTAATCTAAAATGTGGGATTTATACGCATCACTCAAAACACTTGTGCAGGTCTCTGAAAACATAAGCCTATCAGATTGTAGGTAATTAAGCTTGCATTCCTTGTTCAACCAAAATTCCCTGACTGGAATAACAGCTTTAGATGTTTTTTTTGTTCACATTCTGTTTTACTATGTTAAAACACCAGAATTTTTTCTTTTTACTTAAGATAAATGTGTGAAAGTGCCTTCTTTCCATTCATAGATGTTATCTTCCTCAAACTTCAAATGATTCATCTGGGTGAATGTAGTTATAAATAATTTATCAAGATACATACCAGTTGTTAGGAGAAAAAAAAACCCCGAAGGAAGAATATCACTGCATAAAATATGAACATTAAAACTGATTTTTAAAAATCAATCTTTAATTGGTTTTATTACCTCCTAATCCAGGTCTGAGGCGATTATCATAACCATCCAGAAGTCTGTCTAGAATTCTTGTAAAGATGGTGATGTTATTCTTAGCTTCGTCTTCCAGGGAGTCAGCCAGTACTGATCTAAATGGATATTTTACATTTTAGAAGGTGCTAAGTATATTTTAACATACACTCAACATGCATTTTTTTTTTTTTTTTGGGCTGGCCTTTACTTGCTGCATTCCAACAGGAAAGGTGTATTTAACAGTATACAAACACACAATTTCTACATAAAAAGTTCAGACATGTAAGGGTCAACAGCATACTATTTAAAATATCCAGGAAGTAATTTTCTAGTAGCCTCTACTTGTAGGCATCATTGCATTATTGTGACTGCTACTTCGAGCCCCGCTAACACTGTTAGTGGAGGCTGTGCTGGTGCAAAACCCTAGAAGAGCTTCCCAGGCTCTGCTGGCAAGTCACTCCTGGGCTGATAACCCGAGATCTCATGCACAAACCTATCTCCTTCCAGCTCTATCTTATCTGTCCTCACTTATGCATACGCTATCTCTGGATAAATCCTGTGGATTTGCCTCCACCCAATGGTCATGTAATGTACATGACCAGAAGAACTAACATGAGGGAAAACTCCAGCGATCATGTTCAGGGAGTCCTCTGACGCCAGCAGTTGGTGGGAGGAAACACCAGTGCTGACTAGCAAGCTGCAGGATAGCTGTGGACAGCCTTCATCTTTCTAAAACGTTATTTTGTCATAAAAAACCACTATCTGATATTCCATTAGATGTAAACCTTATAAAAGTTGGATAGAAAAAGGAATCATAAATGAAGTATCAAAATGAATCTGTAGATCACCAATTGTTTCAAACTTCCCCAATAAAGAAAGAGACATTACAGCCTTTATGGATCAAATCTCTGTGGGACATGCTATAGGGGCTGGAATATGAACTAGCTGCCCAGCCAGCCGTGGTGCTCCACAGTCCTCTGGAACCTGTGGACCAACAGGGTTTGTGACAGGGAAACCCTTGCACACAGAAAGCCTTACACATGCAAATGTGATCGTGCCAACAATTATAAGCATTATGCATGTGAAATACATGAGCTCCTCAATCTTACCTACTTAAAACCAGCATATTGGCATCAAGAAAGTAAAGCATCATATGCTACACACATTACCATTTCCACCTTTTTTAGCTACCTAAATTTTTAACCCTAAATGTTTGAGTATTAATCATCTCAAAATGAAGACATTCTAAATGCCATAATAGCAAGCATGTTTTCCTCCTCCTCCACCAAACCAAAAGTAAGTTTGGGTGATATTTTCTCTAAAGCAAGCTGTAAAAGGATTAAAGACAAGGCTGTATGTTGGTCCCCAGCTCAATAGCATAAAGAAGTATTTAAATGTAAATCATTGCAGTCTGTGCTTTCCATCATATAAACCACAGAACTGACCCAAATCAGATAACTTATGAAGAACCCATGAAAATGTCATGTGTGATTTTACTCATGTGTCAGTTTTTTCTTAGTTGCAATTACTGGATGGTTCCTTTTTGGTTTGTAAAATGTATCATTGTACTCATGGATTACCAGAGAACATCTCTGCCATTTTTAAGCTTCATTTTGAGATACAACAGTTTTTGAACTCGAGTCCACTAAAAATATTAGATCAATACATTTACATCAAATTAGGGTCAAATCTTGCAAACTTTACTCAGGCATAAAGTCTTTAATAATGCCTATAGTCTCTTTGACGTCAGTGAGATTACTCACTTGAGTAGGGTTTGCAGGATCTGGCCCACTGTGACTCAACTAATACTGCACCATAGTTAGGTATAAAGGGAAATAGAAAACATAGTTTCACTGGGAAACAAACAAAAATATTGGAGACTTGTTAAATCATAATGAACTTGCATTATATAGCATACAATCTTTACCATATTAGGACAAGACCTACTGCAGCCACAACCAAAGCAAGTAAATCAAAGTTACAAACAACAATTAATTATGTGTTTAGGGACTGTGAGCAACACAAAAATATAATGTAGTAAAAATTACTTGCTCTTATGCTATTACTTTAGAAATTGAGAACTTTACACAACATAAGAAAAGTTGATTAATAAATGATGCTATTGTTTTATTATATGTGATTGTGAAGTTGTATGCTATCTCCACCTAGAGGTTTAAGGCTTAAGCATCATTTTGAATTCTATTATGTTTGACCAAAAAAAAAAAGTCAAGAAAAAAAAAAAGGCATGCCCATATTAATAAATATATGGGCATTATCTTAAGGACAGTGATTTGCACTGTGACTTCATAATAATCTATTTCTCCATTTTGCATGGTACAGAATCACAGTCATACAGTAACTCAAATCTTTAAGATCCAAAAAGGCATTTAAAGAAATTTTTATTTTAATGGTGGATTAAAGCATCAATTCACAAACCATTTAAAGACAAGACATCAGGCTTTTAAGGTCCCTAAACTACATTCTACTGCATCTATTCTCAAAACTATGTAATACTGCATTCAAACAGCTAAGAAAGATTTTTTTTTTATTACGTTACTACATACTGTACTTTTATAACCCCTCACACAAGCTTACCTTTAGCAGATTTTAACATACGTGTTCACAGTGAATAACAAAACTAAATATCCTCTCACCTTGTTGGTAGCCACACCAATAAAACGAGAAGAACCAACTGCATCTCGGAGTGTGCCAGCTTCCTCTTCATCGCTGCTCTTTGCAAAACCTAACGGTGCAAGAAAAACACAAACCCACTCTCAGCCAGAGTCAGTCTCCGCCAAGCAATGCTTTCAACTTAAACCCGAGGAAAATATGTCACTTCACTGGAGAAAGGAAACAACTGGATTTCCGCAGCACTTTTCAGTACTAGCAACTTATTGTATCTCCATCTTTCCCAACGATCCTGCTCTGTGCAAGGAGGCAATGTATGATCAGAAGTGGCATGTGAGCCGGCGCATCAGATGCTTTCCTGTTCCGTGATGTGAAAGCCCCGAGACGAAAAGGAACAAAAAATAAAAACAGTACGTATGGGAGGACGGGGGTTTAACCACCCCTCGCCTCACTACGGCACACCGCAGCCGGGGGGGCGGGGGGCCGGGCGGGAGGCAGAGTCATGCCATTCGCCGGGGCTCGGTGCGGGGACCGCGGGCGAGCCGCCCCCGTCGCCGCCGAGCGCCCGGCACGTTTGACAGCTGCTGGCAGCGCACGGGCGGCCGCCGCCAGGGGAGCGCCGGGGGGCGGCGGGGGCAGCCCCGCAGGGGGACAAGTTGCGGTGCCCCCGACACGGGCCGGGGCTGCCCGCCGCGGCTGGGGAGCCCCGGGGACCCTACCTGGGAGCAGCGGCGGGCGGGCGGCCGAGGCGGGGAGGGAGGGGAGAGGGAGGAGGGAAGGAAGGAGGGAGGGGAGGCGGGCGCCGCCGGCGAGCGGGGCAGGCGGCGGCGGGGAGCGCGGGGCGGCGGCGGGCGCGGCCGGGACCGAGCGCGGCCGGGACCGAGCGCCCCCCGAGCGGCCGGCGCGCGCGCGCGTGCCCGCGCGGGCCGGGGCGCGGGGCTGCCCCGCGGAGCCGTCACGGGGCCGCGCCCGCCGTCCCCGCGCGGGCACGGCGTGTGAGGGGCCCCGCCCGCGGGGCACCGGCCCCGGCCCGGGGCGGGCACGGCGTGTGAGGGGTCCCCGCCCGCGGGGCACCGGCCCGGGGCGGGCACGGCGTGTGAGGGGTCCCCGCCCGCGGGGCNCCCCGCCCGCGGGGCACCGGCCCGGGGCGGGCACGGCGTGTGAGGGGTCCCCGCCCGCGGGGCACCGGCCCGGGGCGGGCACGGCGTGTGAGGGGCCCCGCCCGCGGGGCACCGGCTCCGGCCGGGGCGGGCACGGCGTGTGAGGGGCCCCGCCCGCGGGGCACCGGCCCGGGGCGGGCACGGCGTGTGAGGGGTCCCCGCCCGCGGGGCACCGGCTCCGGCCCCGGGCGGCTGCCGCGGCCTCGGAGCCCGGAGCGGGCGGGCGCGGCAGCCTTGCCGGTGCGCGAACGAGAAATGGGGCGAAAAGCGCTCCCCAGACCGGTACAACTCATTTTCCGTAGCCCTCCCTCCTCAGCCTGTCAATGGCCTCCGGTCAGGGCGCGCTGGCCGGGCGCAGCCCCGGCAGCCGCGCCGCTCTCACCCGGACTGCGGCGGGAGCGGGGAGCCGCCAGCCCCGGCTGCTGCCTCATTAACATTCCCTTCCCCGCTTGCCCACCGGCACAGTCTAATTGGAATGCAGAGAGAAGAAAAGTCCATCATTTAATGGGAGCCCAGGATGAAGGCAGACAAGGAAACAAACCTCGCTTGTATTTTTTGCCTTTTTCTCCCCTCAAATTGCATTACTTTCTGTTGTATTGTCTTCTAAAGCACGTTGCCCTCCTTTCATATATGCATTCCTTCTCTGATCGTAACTGGATCACTGCTGGGACTCATTCTCATTGATTTCAGGTTTTCCAGTACAAGTAGAACAGGACAGGCTTAATAATTAAAGATAAGGGTTTATATTTAGTGTACCCTCATTTTGCATTGTTAACTCAGAAATAATTAAATAACGCTGGCAATAATATTTCAGCCTCTTATTTTTGCATTTTAAACCAGTCCTCATCTATCTCCTTTCCTTTCAGTCTCTTTAATTGCCCAAAGCACCATCTCAATTATCCTCTCTTAATGTCACCGGTCATCTTATTGTGTTTAACTGAAATTATTCTGATGAAGTTCAGTCCTTAGTCAATAACAGTTCCAAAATGAATATGTGAAATAGGATGCACGGACGTGGGGCAGGGGTGGGTAGGAAGAGAGAGAGGAAGGAAACAGAAGGGAAGGAGAAAGAAGTAGGGGAAAAAAAAAAGAGAAAAAACTTCTTAGTTTACCTATACAACTGGGATGTTCCTGCTTCCAAATTGTTGCAGTTTGCAATTAGAGGTGTCTTTGTTTCCTTCTCCTTTCATGGTTTAATGACTCCACGGTAGAAGATGAGAAAAAAAAGAAGGAAGAAAAAAACTTGGGCAATCAAGACAATTTGTCCCTTCCAACTTTGAGTTGTTTTGTAACTTGGAGTAAGACTGAGAAGAGCGAGGGAATAAAACCAGTAAAATGACAGCCCAAACTGTGGAAAATGACAAATATAAGGATACAGGAGCAAAAGCTGAAATGTGAAAAGCACTCTTTCAGCAGCCATCTAACCCTGGCTGTGTTGAAGACACAAGGCCCTCATCTCTCCCTGCCCAGATGTGAAAATGTGCTCTGTTCATTGTTAGTTAGGTATCTGTGGTCAATCAAAACTCTTCTCTGGATCTGCCTGAAAGACCCACATATTAGGAATTAACAACTGATACTAGATGCAGCATCAAGCCTCACAGAAAAGAAAACTAGATTTGACTGCTTGTCCTAAGAAAAAGTGACTTCGCTGATATCAAAATGGAGGAGGAAAAAAGAATCACTGAAAGTGATCTGAAGTCTCCATGATTTATTCTGATATGAAACACCTTATGTAATCCAAGCAGAATGGGTTTTTTTCCACAGATATTCATGGAATTCCTTCTCAAAACACACTTCCAGTAATAATACTGAAGCTATAATCTAATTTTCATCTATAAGTTGCATCAAAAAAATAAATGCACTCATTAAGGGAAGCAGTCACAGTGGCTCCTTGTTTCTGTGATAGCACATTGTCATTCTTCGATGGCCACAAAGGGTAGGAATGTATTTATAATGAGCTTGTGCTCGTCTTGTAGACTTTCCCAAGGAAAATGTGCTGGTTTTTAGGCTCTAATCACAATTACAATTACACAATTACAATCACAAAGAACAATGTTCTTTGAGATTTTCATGCACCGAAGTCATGCTTCAGATCTAAAATTTTAAAATAACCCCTCATACTCATTTTAAACAAATTGGACAGGCCAGTGAGGCATCCCAAATCAGAGGAAAGCTGAGTAGAGGGACAAGCTACTATGGCAATGTGAAAAATCAGAGGCAATATAATTACTAACAGAGAGAAGGGTTTTTCTGCTAGACTCGCATACTTACAACCTGTGCTGCCAGTGAACGGGAAAGTATTTGAGGAGAAAACTGTGGTATTGCTGAGCTATTTTTGTTTTGTTGGGTTACATGCAAGCATAGCTCAAATGTGTTAGCTCTAGGTGGTTTGAAAAAGTGTGCTTGAGCCCCCTCAGGTGCACAGTCAGCAGGGAAGTCTTCTTCCTTTCTGCATTATTATTTGTGGTTTGGTATTGAATGCTGCCATTCATTACTGAATTTCAATTAATGCTGAGTGATATGCAGCATCCAACACGTCACCTGGGTTTGTGAGACTCTCCCAAGTCCTGATGCAAGCACCCTGGAAGGTGTGGAATCATGCCTTTGGTTTGAATAGGACTTGAAATAGTCCACAGAAAGACAGCAGGTCTACAAATTGTTACTTTCAAAGTATAAATAAAATATTTTACTTAAAAGGCTCTATTTCTTTTGTGCTATATTTGCTGCAATATATAAATAGAATTCAATCATTATTTTGATATTTTAAAAATCTTAAAAACAAAAAAAAAGACCTTACAATCTTATTATCCCTTGCTAAGCATCTCAAAACTCTGCACAGGCTGATAAACAATGTTTCAGAATTCTTTTGTGAGATTGGAATGACTTCCTCTGTGAGCACAAATTGAATAGCAGGATAGGTATGTGACATTTCATAATCACTTCTTAGAGTTTAGAGGTAATAGCAACACAGGAGAGGTTAAGCCAAGGCCTCAAGTCATTATCCAGAGTGCAAAACACTAGATTGAATGTTTCCCTTAAAATTGTGCTTAAAAGAATAATTTATATGACAAAGTTACACCTTTCCTCAGACAAAATAAATTACTCAAAAGCAATATCCCTGATTTGTAGCCACTAGGGAGGTCACAGTAAGCATTTTCTGTCATGGACATAATCAAGTAATGCAAAACAGAACTTAATACATTATTCTGATCTGGGGTACATTCTGCAGTATAATATTTTCAGAAAAAAATTTGGCAGATTGAGGTAATCAGCATTTACTTTGTACTGCTTGAGAATAATCCCCACCCTTATATCTAGGCCAGCAGCAGTCTGAGCTGTAAGGATATAAACAATAATCACTGGAGTTAAATGAAATTATGCATATATGTGAAAATTGAAGTGATATATCATTATTTTTTGTATGTGATAACTGGATTTTTTAGTATAAATTATGTTTTTTATAAACATCCTTACCTCTAAAAAGGATAAGATATTTTTGATAGATGTTTCATCCTTTTAAAATTTCTATTTCAATTAATTAAATAGTTAAATATAAGTTCAAGTGTTTGAGATATATATCCAAGATATATTTTTTATGTAAACATGTATGTTATCTTACTTCTGTAAATAATGATCAAAATAAAATGTTGAAGAGGGGAATAAGTTTTTTAACCCTAGACTGACTCATCATACAGGTACATGAGAAAAAAGAAGGAAGAAGCTGGCTTTTTTCAGGAGCCCCCTAAAAAAATGATGGAAGTCAGATTTCTGTAAGAAGCCTCAGGTGTCCAGAACTGCTCTTCCTTATGCAAAATTGCAGCACAAATTTCTCAAAGTTGAAATCATTTTGAGATGCACCATCCAATACTAGATGCTACTATAACAAGGAAACACAAAAAATCTTACAACTTTATGCAGTACCCACCATTGTAAGGGTCTGAGCAAGTCAGAGTTTTCAGTTTGACTGTGTCACTTATAGATTGGGAAGGGTTTCTGTGCTTGTTGAAAAGCTCTAGCTATCAGTCTTCCTGACTGAAGAGCAAAAGCAAAGGGCCAGTGCCAGCTTTATTTCAGCTCTGTGTAATCAGCTTTAAGTTGCTTTCCAATGTGCACTGAGAAATTCAGCAGAACAGGAAATTGAAATGAGCTTTCCCACCTTAAATATTGATGAATGTTTCTTTCCCAGGATTATACTTTTCCCAGATTTGAACTTTAAATACCACATGAGGATTTTTAATTTTCTCTAAACG